AGGGATGGGACAGACGAGCTCCGGCGCCCGCCGCCTCCGGCCAAGCTGCAGGTCAGGGGGTGCGGGTCCCTGCCAGGGGCAGCACTGCCATCCAGTGGTGCCCAGGACTGGGAACAAGCCCCGCTCCCTTGCCTCTCATCGTCGCTTGCCTGGTTGAGTCAACACCGCATGCTTAATGATTGACAACGGAAAAAATCTTCCCCCGGAGACAGGTCCAGAGCTTCCAAAAAAGCAGAAGATGTAACCCTCCCCACGGCCTCCCGGCTGGAGCTGGCCAACTGGGGACAAGGGGCAAGAGAAGAGCCTGAGTCTCTGCCGGCAGCTTCTCGTTCCACCAGGATGGGGAAAAATTTTGGGCTTGTGGGTAGAGAAGGGGTGGGGACTGGCAGCATCTACCCCACAGCAAACACCCACGGCAGAGAAGTGCTGAAACCACCCTATGGAGCCTGGGTCCAGCAAGAACAGATGGGGCTGGAGGCCAAGTGAGAGGCAAGACCCTGGCAAGAGCCGTGAGCTGAGGACACAGAGGTCGTGGCAGTGCCACTGAGCACTGGGGACCAGGTTTACAGCTGCCATCTATGTCTCTCTGCTCAAAGGGGAACTTTGCCCCAGCTTTGTAAACATGGGCATCCTGCCCAGGAACAGGCAGGTTTGCCTGCAGACACCTTCCCAAAATAACCCTAGCAGACAAATACCTTGTCCGCAGTGACAGACAGCCCAGCAGACCCAGCTCATTGGTCTCCATGTTGCCCAGGAGCTGCCCCATGTAGAAGGATGTTGGGGCATCCCTTATTCCCAGTCCCACAGAGGCAGCTGCTTGCAGCCACATCTGGTCAGTGCTCCAGGGGAGCCTCTTCTCCCAGCTCCTGTCTCAGCCAGGAGGAGCACTCACACACTAGTGCAAGCACAAAAGTGGCTGCACAGTGACACAGTCTAAACCAGCTCATCCTAGAGGGGCACCCACACCACCCCAGGGACAGCAAGAACAGGCCAAGATGGTCTTTAGCAAAATCCATAAATGTATTTATTTAAACAGTCAGCAATAAATAGAGGAAAGCCAGGTAGCAGGGGTGTTGGGAATGGGACCAACTCCTCTTGCAGCGTAGGCAGGCCGGGAGCCTAGCAGAGCCCAAGCCCTGTGTGACAGCAAGAGTGTGAGAAGGCAGAGGGACACCACGACAGGGGTCCAACCCCTGAGACAGGGCGAGACCCAAACCCTGCTAGAGGGCAAGACAAGGAGGTGAAAGCCAGGGGTAGCAGCAGGCAGAGCCCATGCACTGGAAGCAGAGTTGGCAGCTCAGGACCCTCCATGTTCAGAGCCCCCCAGAGCAGAACTGCAGGGGAGGTGAGGAGCTTTCTGTCCCCCAAACCCAATTGCCAGCCTGGTGAGATGCCATTGCAGCTGGGACCAGACAAGATGGGGTGCACATGAGCTGGGTAGGAATCTCATGGGCAGGGTCGCACCAGATACCGATGGCATCAGCTTGGTGTCAAGCACAGGGACACCTGGCCTGCTTGCCCTCCCCACACCGGCTCCACCAGGAGACCCCCAGCCACCCCCTAAGAGCTTTGTGCTTCAGTTCAGGGACCCAGCTCTTCTCTGGGAGCATCAGGCCATGCCTCCCCGCCCCCCAAAACCAGGCAGCGGCCATGGGGCTGCAGGAAGGACTGACACCACAGGGCAACTCCCACAGAACAGGCTCCTGCCTTTAAAAACCTACAATTTACATAAAACTGTCATTGTAAAACCTTCCCACAGAGCAGTGCCGTGCGGAGAGGGGGGGGATGAACCCACCCCAGGAAGAGCAAGACAAACCCTAAAGTCTGGATCCAGCAGGGACAGGCAGAGCCCGAGGGTGACGTGCCAGGGCAGCGGGGTTACCGGCAGGTGCAGGACTCTGCAATCATGTTCTCGTACTCCTTGTAGAGGATGCTGCCGTCACGCTCAATCATGAGGACGCTGATGGGGCTGTAGCGGTAGGGGACACAGGAGGGCCGGGGCACGTTGGCATCCACGAGGTGATGGACGAAGCCCTGCACCACCGCGTGGTTGGGTGCGTGGTAGTCGTAGCGGAGCAGGCGGGGACAGGCACCCTTGCAGTAGCGTGGGTTGTAGCGGTGGGGAGCGATGATCCAGTGGTCCCAGCCCAGCTGGGCAAAGCTGACAGTGAAGGGGTGCAGGGAGCATTCGCTCTTCTCCCCTCCCTGCTCCCGCAGGTATCCAGGCAGGTCAAGGGCCAGTGTCCCTGTGTCACGCCGGTGCCGGCGGGGCTCTGCCGACGGAGGTGCCAGCCCAGCCCTGGTGTCATTAAGGTAGAGGAGGAGGAAGGGGTGGCTGGGGGTCACCGGTGCATCATGGCGCTCTGCCCTGCCAGCACGCACACAGACATGCCGCAGCGCCAGACTCGCAGTGCCGCTGTTCCCCGGCACCAGGTATGAGGTGATGTCCACTTCGGCCCAGCCATGGCGGGGGCGGACAGCAGGGCTGAGCAGTGTCCCAGGCGCCTCGCTGGTGGCTGCCAGCTCCAGGGCGCAGAGGAGGCGGCTGTGGGCCAGCAGTGGGCTGGGCAGGTAGACCACGGTGGCTCGGAGGAGGTGCTCAGCCTCAGGCTGGCCCTGCAGGCGGTAGGTGAGGGGCTGCACGTACCAGCGGCCTGTGAGAGAGCAATGGTCAGTGCCCCCAGCACAGCATAGCTGGCATGGCACCAGCACAGCCGTTTCCCAGGGTGCTGCTGCAGCCCTGCACAGCACAGCAGAGTCCATGGCATGGACCCTCAGAGCCTGTAACAGCCAAGTGCCCAGGCATGAGGCAGGAGGAGCAACAAACAGCAGCCGCG